CCGCGACCACCTCATTTCGAAAAATATGATGGTACCTCAGACTCCACGGATCACTTGGAAGGGTCCAAGGCCAAGGCCACTATGCTCCTACATGGGACCTCGGAAACCTCGGTGTTTCAAAATATTTCCTTCTACCCTACAGGGAATTGCTCAATAGTGGTACTCCATGCTGCCATGCTGGTCTATAGCCACTTGGACTAGTTTGAAGAAAAGTTCCTGGCACAGTTCACTTGCAACTGGAGATAGTAGAAGACATTAGCCAACCTCATGTGGATCAAGTAGACAGAGTCCCTGAGGGAATACTTGGTGAGGTTCAACACCAAGTCAATTAAAGTCCAAAACCTTAACCAATCTATAGTGGTGACCGCCCTAATGAACAACTTGTGGTCATTTTGCTTCAATTTCACACTACAGAAAAAGGCCCCTACCAAAATGACCAAACTCTCGGCACATGCACAAAAGTACATCAACTCCAATGAAGCACATATGCAGTGAAGGTAGGACGAGAAGGACTAATATGATTTGAAGCACAAACACAAAGATGACCATCAAGTTCATTGCGACCGAAAGAGGTCAGACTACTATAGAGACCATAGGCCGAGGACTCTACTGCAAACTTTCAGAAACTGCATGCCCCTAATGCTACATGGACTAAGGTGATGATGTAGACCCGTGACCAACCTTTTGTCTAATGACTAGAGAAGCTGAAGTTCCAAGGCAACAAGAGAAGTTGAGAGAAAAACTGTGAATTCCATAGAGACCAAGACCACGACGTGGAGAGCTACATGGACCACTGCAATAACATAGAAGTCATCGTTTGACGAGGATACCTTGGTGAGTTTGTAGCTAATCCTTTAAGTACCTTGTAGAGATAGCCCTGGCCGCACCGATACACCCAATGACTAAGACCTTCCTTCAATCAGAGTCATCGCCACCATCCACGGTAGAACGACTTCGAAGGAAGAGACCTTGGCCTTGAAGGCCTACACCTGGTTCAACCAAGTAGAAGACCGAATGCCGAAGAAGCCTAAGGTCATCGACACACCCATCATGCTTGCCGAGGACGATCTCAAAGGAGTCTAGATGTCGCATGACAATGCCTTGGTCATAATGGTGAACATTGCTAACTTCAAAGTGCGTCGAATGCTCATAGTCACAAGAAGCTCACCTGACATCATTTTTGAAGAGGCCTTCTCAAAGATGAAGATTAGATGTGACCAACTACGATCGATGAATGCCCCACGGTCGGTTTCTCTAGCGACTCATTAATACCAGAGGGGAAAATCACTATACCAGTAACAATAGGAGATGGTACCCAAAGAGCACTCTAATGGTAGAATTCCTTGTGGTGAAAGTTCAATCATCATACAATGTCATCCTCGGTTGATGGATTCTAAATGCACTTCGAGCTTTTGTCTCTTCTTACCATCTAGCACTCAAATTCCCCACCAAGCACACAACACTAGCATCACCTGAGGACACCAATGCGCCATGCAAAAGTGCTATGTAGCTACTTGCAAAGGAAAATCCAACCCCTAAGAAGATCCTTCCACTAACGAATGACCTAGACCTCCGGGATGAGCTCCGCACACAACACGATCAATGTGTGGAAGGTTTAACTTAGGTACCTCTCTTCGACGGTGACTTAGAAAAAATTGTCCAAGAGGGCTCCCTACTTTAGGACAGTCTCTGAGATAACATCATCTAGTTTTTGAAAGCTAATGCCAATGTTTCTACCTAATTTGCAACAAACATTTCAGGGATTGAACCCTCAAGAATATCTGCAAAAGGACAAAACAAGCATGTTAGTACTTACAAGTAAAACAACAACCGATGTGTTAAGCCGACAATAGGAGTTCTCCTACCGAGGTAGGCGGGACTGAGGCTAGCCTACACCAAGGCTTCCTCCTGCACTAGGGGCTCGACACAAATCTTCCCCGACATCCGGATACGGGTAATGACCTCAGCCTCCTCGCCCCGAAGATAAGGGGATGCCGTCTCGACTACCAGGTTCAGCCTCCCCCAGTTTGACCTAAACAACCAACCCTCGGGGCAAGAAGCGAAGAAGTACTTCCTCTTCCAGTTATGCACAAATGATGGGTTGTCAACCACTCTATCGTGACGGGCCTAGAAATAGTATATTCGCATCTCATGGGGCTCCGGCCTCAGGACAAAAATGCCACAGAAGATCTTCTCGGTCAGCTCAACACCTCGGAGCCGAGCCATCACCGACACAACGACTATGGTTCTGACAGCATTAAGGATCAGGTGGCTTAGGGTGATGTCGTACCACCTCAGCAGCTCAGGGATGAAGGGATGAAGTGGAAACCTAAAGCCGAACTTTAAGTAGTGTTGATGGACACACACCTCACCCTCCTCCGGCAGCCACGGCCGATCACCAATGTCAGGGACCCTAAGCCGATATCCCTTTGGGATATGATATTGCTTAGCAAGAGCCTTCACTTGCTCTATGCTAAGGGTGCTATCTAACTTGGAGCGGGCAAGGCGCTCCACTACTACCCCCCAAGCCACATACTCAACCACTATTCTTGGATTGGGCTCTAGGACTTCCTCACCCTCGAGTACCTCGAGCGACCCCAAGGCCCCCTCAGCTTCCCTCAGTTTCATCGACCTAGCACTTTCATGGGGAGACTCATCACCCCTTCGGCTGCACTCGGTGCCTACAGAGGAAGTCCTCTCCCTCAGCACTTGGATCTTGGGCCTTGATGCAGGGTCCTTGAACTTGCCAGAGTAGCCCTCACTACTACTAGCCGAAGTAGTTATACGAGACGAGCTCGCTCCCGAGAAGTCAGGGAGGTCATAGCACTCGAGACCAGAATCGGAGTAAGACATGGCTACCGGTTGAAGTTTTTACCTAATGGGTGAGATCTTGGAAGGTCTAAAGGTGAGCGAAGTTGAAGGCCAAGGTCTCTGAAGGTTCAAGATCTCGAAGGAAAATGGTGAAGTCTGTCTCGACTAAGTGCCCTATTTAAAGGAAAACAGACTGCTCAGGTTATCTCCGTTCCAACGGCCATGGAGCAACTGCCTTAACAGTCCGAAATGACATCGAGCAAGTCAGCTAGTCCACTAACTGAATCAAGCAGTTCGTCTGACGATCCTGAGCGAGAAGGAACTTGACCCAGTCGACCTGACGCTCGTCTCATGTACGGACACGACGCGATGACCCGTCTTGCGTACAGACATGGCCTAATGCCCGTTTCGAGCATGGTCCTGACCCATCGACATTGAGACCCATAGCATGCACGGTTAGCACCCGGTGTCGACACCCATCTCTTGTACGACCCCAACTTGTTGACGGCAACACCTATCTCGTGGACAGCCACGACATGCCCATTCATCACCCATACTTCATACAAAAACTACCAATCGAGGCTAACACCTGGCTCATGCGTAAACACATCAGCACACCTGTGAAGCACACGAATGGGGGGGCACGTATCCCTCAGACCCGTATCCAACACAGTACCGAGCTCTCAAAAGCCGAGGTCAATGCCTTCGCACACCCGGTCCTCCACAACCTCTCCCAAGAGGCAGAACCCAAGAAGTAGTTGTCATCAAAACAACTAAGGGAAGCCCTCAGGGACTGAGGTTGACACCTCCACGCCCTTGAAATAAGGCTCTCCCTGACATAGCCAAAGCCCTAATCAAGGCATACCCATAAAAGCAGCTGCCACCAAGACAAGAGAAGCCCTCTAAAGCCGAGGTCAACATCTCCCCACTTCTGAGCCAGGCTATCTCCAATGTCTCCAAAGTCAAAGTCGATGCCTCCGCGCTTAAAGACAAAGTTCTCCCTAGCCAAGCCAAAGCCGAAGCTGAGGTCCTCGCCATTACAAGCCACTTAGCACCTCCCAGCAAGGATGATACACTCTCTTCAGCCAAAGCCGAGGTCACCACACAAACCTCTACCACGGCCTTGAGAGTAGGGGGCAAATGATGTAGGTGCCACATGGCAGGCCCAATGGAGCGCGCACATGCGGCATCCTAGCTATCCACTCGTAACTAACTCTAGGCAGGTTCAAATATAAATGAGTGGCATCACAATGAGGTAAGACATCTTGGCATTTATTGCTCCCAGCTCTCTAGCTTTCTGGTGACCTCGTCTGAGCTACCTTACTTAGGTCTCATCCGCCCTCTTCACTATGCCTTTGCTAACTTGACCGTTAGAGTCTCCGCCTCTAAGATCACGCCCGGGACCTCTGACGTGCTTCTTTCTCTATAGGCCAGACTTACAGGCACTCAGCTCTAGCAGCCCTCACTTAGCCTCATTAGCCAGCCCTCATCTCTGAAATGAATTTACATTATTGCCCTCGGCCCATTCCATGCAACAACACTTCTCCTGGATTTTCTATCTAGAAGATACAAAATTAGCTTGTAATTTTTATGGCTTCTCCCGGTTTCTCTGTAATTGGAAATGTTTTCAAGATGTCCATTTCACCTTCCACCTAAAATAAGGCCCTGAAGCTGGTTCATCCCCATAATGGGACGGGCTTAAGGGAATGGATTTCATGAATAACATTGTGAGTTATACACTTGAAGAAGGTATCTCAGTGATGTCTTTAGAAAGCCATCTCCACCGATTACGGTCTCTGTGTAAAGAGAGGTTCAATATTTGAAGTCTTAACCAACGATGGCTTACTGCTGACTTTAATTTAGACTTGATACATGGTACCGTACTCCAGGTGGTTTTGACTCCTAAACAGAAAATACTTCAAGTGGATCTATTCAGGTAGTGTCTTTATCGTCAAACATTATATGCAAGTATATTGGTCACTGAACTTCAGTTATGGAGTTGACATCTGCCCCCCACAGAAGGCACCCCAAAAGCGCCTCACATGCTTATCTCAGCGTGCAATGAGAAGTCATTGGGAGGCAAATGTGACTTTTCAGTTATGCATCATTTGATTTGTTTTAACCATCATTCTGAATTTCTGATTACTTTAGAATTTAGATATATTGTAAAATCCATGTATCACCCTTCACTTTTATGTGCGATGTCAATGTCAACTTTCACTTCAAGTGGCTTTTCATTCAGTCACACCATTAAGGGAGAATGAAGGTTGAGTCCAGGGTCAAAATTTATAGGCCTAAAATAGTATTGGGGTAGGTGTCAGATCGGAATTGATGTCAAGTGCATAGAATGTGAATTGTTGACATTTTGAATGTTTATAGCTCTGTGGAAATCAGAAATCTGCATCGAGTCTGTCGGTACTTTTCCATAACATTAACAACATAGTGAATACAATCATATTCAGTGTGCTTAGCACTGTTGGCTTAAATACTACTGTACTCATTTAACATTAAACGATAACCAACTCAATGGATGAAATGAGGTCTTTGGGTCAAATTGGTAGAGTGCTTGGGAAATGAAGAATGTTTATCTCAAGAGGATGGTGGTTCAAATCCACCAAGATCCTTCATTTTGCAGTCGATTAGAGTTCTCTTATCCACCAAAGTTTTCTAAGAGTTCAGTAATTTTCCTCCTTAACACTGATTTCCTTACATGGATAGACAACAAAAAGAAAAGTTATTTTACATATTTTCATAGTTGATGCTCCTTCATCTCCTACCTTCTTCATAAACGATTAAGTACAGGTGATCTGTACAAATATAGACCAAAAACAAAAAGATGGATTTCTTTGCAGAAGTCGGTGAAGCTCAAGTACTGCTGACAAATGCATTGAAAAGTTTCTCATGTTTTGTTATCTGGTGGAATAATTTGGCATCATCCTCCACTATTTGCCTCAGAACGTCATCATCAATGTTCTGGGTTTGTCTGCAAGAAGGATCCTCTACAAGGGCCCCATTGAAAATCATACTTGAGACCCACTCTTTATATATGGTTTTTCCATATTTCTCTTCTTCCCAAGTCCCTGATGCCAAGAGTTGATAAACATAAACTACGCGTTCCTGACCAGGCCTAAATGCCCTTGCAATAGCCTGCTTTGTCTTCGAAGGGTTCCACTCCGAATCCAACAAAACAACACGTGAAGCAGCAGTTAAACTAATTCCTTCGGCACAAGCTGTAATAGAAGCAAGGAGTAGCCTTGAGGCCCCACCTGGTTCTTCGAACTGATCCATCACTCTTGCACGTTCAAATAACTCTTGATCACCTTTAAGGACCAAAACCTGTTCACCTGCCTTCCACCCAAAAAACCTCTCAAATATCTCCACAAGAAAATTAATGGGTGCAATATTATGACAGAAAACCAAAACCTTCTCCCTCTTGCTACTGCACCCATGCACAAGGCTCACCACAAATCTCAACTTTGGACCTTTGTTCACGTCAACCCTATTTTCTGCAAGATTTTCTAGTTCCTCCGAACTTAAGTATTTACCTGCACCTGCTACAGTTTTTATCAACCAAGGGTGTATCGACCCCAGTGTGATCAATAGGTCCAGTTCTAGAGGATTTCCCCTGCATGAATCCTTGTAATCCTGTAGCTTAGATAGAATCTTTTGTTGTATGGATGTTGGTTTCAATGACAAAGTATAAGTTTGCAAATCAGGAAGCCCATCCAATTTCCCACCTTCATAGACATCAATAAACCCTTTTGTAATGCTCATCAACATATCAAGACCATGTTTCCTAACCTCTGCCACTCTTGAGTTGATTTTCTTTGCAATATTCTCTATGAACATGCTTCTTGCTTTGCTCTCTTCCAAAGAACTTACATTCTTCTTCCCTTTACGATTTTTAAATTTTGAATCAAACTCCTCTAATACCTCAGAAATAAAACTTGGTCTTGCCAAGCAGAGGGTGTTGAAGTATTCCACAAAATTATTCTGGAACAATGTCCCAGAAAGTAAAATTCTCAAGCCAGTGTTCACTCTCATCAATGATTTCCTTAATCTTGATCCGGTGTTTCTTGGGTTATGCCCTTCGTCAAGGATAAGAATTCCTGGACTTTCTCTTAAGATTCTACCCATGCATCTCCTGTATTCATGCTTTGAGTCTTCTCGGGTCAAGGAGAGAAATGAAGTGTAACCCATGAGAAGAATACTTGGATGTTCATGCCATTTTTGTATTTTCTCCAGGCAATCAATTGCATGCATCACCACCTGGTTAGCTCTACGACCACCAACAGATTCTCTGCATCGCTGACTACGGATCTCATTTATGTAGTTCCGCCGAACATGGATCTGGTGAACTGGAAATGATACATCCCACTTCTTAAACTCTTTACACCAGGTGTACAGAGTGGTCTTTGGAGCAAGGATCAAAGGCTTTTTTCCAGGGAACAACTTCAGATAGCTTTCAAGGAATGATATTATGAGCAGGGTTTTTCCAGCCCCTGGTGAATGAGAGATTATGCAACCACCTGTTCTTCTTAATGTGGGTTGCATATCTGCCGGTATTAAAGATCCTGCAATATTTCTCCACAGAAATTCAAATCCTTTCTTTTGGTGGAAATGTAATTTCATTTTGAGGTCTGGTATCAAGGCCCAGACATTATCATTCCTTTCTGAAAATGATATGTTCCTAGAAGAAACAGTAGTTTGGAAAAGATCCAGGTTGCCATGTTTGGTCAGTGTTGTCCCTGATTTGTCTCCATTGTGCAGCTCCTTGCTCGTGATCCAACCTGTTCTTTGCAACTACAAGAAATTTTGAAAAAGTAAACGAAAATTAAAACCACAATTTAATCAAAGATAAATATCAAGATATACACTGGTCACTATGTCTGCATGAGTACAATTGACAAGTTTTGGGAAGAGGCCACAGTTTGATGGCCCCAACAAGGAAACCCTTGCAACAGTTTACCAAAGCATATAATTCTAATACTAATTTTTGGAGTGCCATTTAAGATATTGCAACACTCAAGAAAAAAAATGCAGAGAAATAAATTGGCAATTTGCTAGAAGATCCATCGGATCTTGTTAGGCCCCATTCCATTTCCCTGCACGTACAACCAATAAAGATGTACTTTAAGGGATCACTGTAAGGGAACTTTGAATTATCAATTATAATAAGTAAAATACATTGGGATTTTTTATCACAAAGTTGACTTACAAAGGGAGGTGATATATCTCTTATTTCAGTGCTCACAAAGCCACACAATTGACATATAATCCCAATTTGTTCATCCATCTTATATTCATGTTGGCATGATTGTCCATCTCTGCTCAAGTTTGGAATCTCACTGGACAATCCAATATGTGAACCCTGGCATTTTTCAACCATAAAGTATCAGTTCATAAAAAAGAGTAGAAAGTATATTAAGACAAGTAAGGATCATATTCTCTGATCCTTCATGATATGAAGGTCTGGGAAACACCATCTGGTTTTGGGTTCTCTGCCAACATATCCAACTCACTATCTGCCTTCTTGTGCACTCAATAAAGGCTTTAACATTGCATACTAAACTAACATCTTGTTTTTAAAACCAAATCCTGTCCACGCCTTGGTTCTTCTTCATAGAAAAAATAAAAAATTAGCAGGCGTTTCATCAGGGATCAGGAAAACTAATGTACAGCTAAGCTAAGATAATTCAGCAAGGAAGGCATCACAATAAAATAATGAAAAATATGTAGAAAAGCGAATGCATATGTGCTTCTATGCATGAACACTGAAGCATCTTTATTTATTACTTTTTTATTGGAAATGGTAGATTTCATTCAATGATTAATTTAAGTACAACTGTCAAGCACCCAAAATAAGAGGTGCTGCAAAGGAGTCCACTATTATAATGCAGCCCAACAGAGTTCTTCCCTAGTAGTCCCTTCTTTGGATAAAGTGCCAGCTAAACTATTGTCTAACCTTCTAACCCATCGAAAGATTACACCAATCTCCCTTGTTAGACACCTGATTTTCTTCACAACCTGTCTGTAGGTCCAGATTCCCAAGTTATTTGCTTGCATCCACCCTATTACCAACATGGAGTCCCCCTCTTCAATCTGTTGGAGAAGGGCCAAAGCTTCAGTTCTTAGTGAATCTCCCACCTATTGGTTCAGAATATAAAGCCAAGTATCTTCTTTCTTCATCTCTTTAGACTCCTCCTATGCCCGATGGTCCTGGGTTACCAAGTGAACTACCATCAAATTTCAACTTAACCCTTTGCTGTGCTGATAGGGCCCAACTCTCATGAATTGCAGCTTTGAAGTTGGAACACACAAGTGCACTCCATCCCCTGATAATATCATCAATTGAGAACTCCCTCCTTGAACAAGTCAAGTGTTTTGTGTGCGTCTGTGTGTGCCTATGTACATGAGTTTATCTATGTGTGTGCATGAGAGAGAGAGAGAGAGAGAGTGAAACAGTTGCAAGACAAGGAGGAATCCTAATAATAAATCTAATAGCATTTGCAAGTTGAACTCCACATGGTTAAATAAATAACATGAAGAGTTAGCTAATCCTGTCAAACAAGTGGGGTCATTCTAAATATTGCTTTATAAAGATTGAATTAAATTTTATTTATAGAAGTAGCCACGAGGTGATAACAACAAAACAGCAGAAACATTAATGAATATATTTTTATCTTGCATCAACTAAATATCCAATAAGTCATGAATTCAGAAACTTGATAAGAATTAAGGCAGCATACCTGATTCTCTGCTAGAAAATGAAATGTTGCCATTGAAAGCTCCATTTCTTCCCACATAACTTTAAGCTCTGGCTCTTCTGCCTGATCAATTGTTATAGATGTCAAGTTACAGAACCACCTCTTGCTTGAAAGATTTACTGCTTGAATTGCTTCCCACTGATCAACAACAGGCAGGTGTTCCCTCTTGGTCTCAGATTCTATGTTCTTCATGCACCTTTCAATCATTTCTTTGTACTCACTGGTACTTAAGAATATTTTCCTCCTACTGGCTGCTTTACAAAACTTCTTCCCATGTGAGACCGTTGCCTTCCATCTATTTTCAACCTCCCTACGTCTCTTATCAGGTACATCATTTCGCTTTCTGCTATCATGCCTACTTACGATCTTAGATATCTCTTTTACATGATTAGCATGGGTTTTCTTACAAAGATGGTTCCTTTCATACAGCTCAGGTTCAATTTTGACAGTAACAGGCATAGGAATACCAGGGAAAGCACAGGGGATTGAAACATCATGGTTAGTTGATGAAGAATTTTCCCCTCCAGTTGTTCTCTCTGGCACTTTCTTGAAGCATGAAACACCTGTTGACAAGCCCTTGTTTTCTACAGGTCTTTTATATGCAGCAGCAGTTTTATGCTTCTGGTAATTCTCAACAAGTGGTTTCCCACTTTGCTTTCTATTAAACATGCCTGACTTGACCTCCCTTGTCATGTTTTTGGCCACCAGAAACTTCTGCTCAAAGTGGGAACATACTGAATGACTTTTACCAGCTTCACACGATATATTGGACAATATTTCTTCTTCTTTCAATCTGGTTTTTTTGCTTGTTTCTGCTTTAAATGAACAAGGCTTTGCCTTTGAAAAATCACAATGGCTGACAAAACGCTCAGGCTGCACATGTCTGCGTTTGGAACGCCGCAAATCCAGGAAATTGTAAAATGGAAAAGGCTTATCTTCTTTCATATCATGAACAAGATCCACATCCATAGGATCATTTAAAACAAATGTATTTACAGGAACCACAGGGGAAAAGTTCATATTACTGGGCTTCATAACTTCATTATCAATTTGGAAGTTTATGGTCTTTACATTGTTCAAGGAAGTTGGAGGACACATGTCATGATCACTATCAAGAAGTTGATAGACCATTTTATTTTGCACTGTTTTGACATCAAACCCAAGTCCTTTCCAAATGGACGCAACCAGTAGCCATGATATATCAGAAGAGAACTGACCGCGATGTAGTATAGCTCTATGCATGAAGGAGCAGTCTTCAGAGTATCTCCAACGATAGTAGACATCTTCTGAAGGTTTTCTCTGAAGTTTTTGTAAGATACCAATATTTTCAAGTTTTACTTCTCTGATTTCTTCCCCAAGTGTCATCTTTGCCATGCTGTGAGGTTCTTGGGCTCTATAGCATATTACATAAAACCGGCATGCACAACCAGAGTCATGGGGCTTCCTCTCAATTGAACTTATCTTAGCATCAACATRTTCCYGCATAAGAAAAATATTTGCTTTAAATTAAACATCATTCTAAGACCAACCCTCTGTTCAATGGGTTAATCATCTGGACCAATATTATGGCATCAAAACCATTATTGAAATCAAGCACATATAAAGAAAGATGTAAACCATGTTCCATATCCAAATAAAATTCACAAATGCACAGGTGAAAATAAAAATAAGAATTAATTAGTCATCATTGAACAATATAACACTCAGTTATGTTTATTAGCTATTTAGTTATGACAGATGACTGGTTGCAATATTTTGCCACTTCCCTACTTGTTGCTAGCACCGAATGACAATGTTAGTTTATTAGTTATATTTTAGTTAATCTTTAAATATCTTGATGCTACTAGAAAGAAATGTGATCATATAATTCATTGGTAATGTCTACAGCAACAATATCTCAAATACCAGCCAAAGATAGTGGAAAACAGTGCTAGAAACATGCACATCCAATTTAGTGCTTTATTTGACAAGGAGAGTTTGAAAGCTGAGAAATTAAAAAATCATTCGATTTCAATTTTCTTTGAGCAATCCAAAGTACCATAGGAAGGACTGAATCAATCTTATGATTTTTTAGTACATAACAAAATAAACAAGAAAACATGACCAGGAAGCACTACCATACAAACTGACACGGTAATGAAATTTCAAACAATAAGATTAACTAGACTAATCTAAATGTTAATATTTGGAAAAGGCAGATTGTAAAACTTGAAACCATTACTCTTGAGATATAGAAACAATTGGCTTCAGCAAACTATGGGATAAGTTTTGATATTACATACTGCAGAAAGCCTCTCCACAGCATTCATCCTCTGCTCACTAAGAATGTAGAACATGGAGTACATGTAAAATCATAAAGGTCAAACTATGCTGCATAAAAGTAATACGAGACAAACATACCAAGTGTATACCTCCTTCATCTGCAGCTTTATCAGAATGTGATGGAAGTATACATACATCTAGACCAGGCCTCAAGAAGCATGTGCAATCAGAAAGGCATGCTCTTCTAGATCGTATGCGAAGGTTACTGATAGAGATTGTATCTTCTATCTCATAAGCATGATTCTTAAAATGCATTGCTATACTTCCATCCCGGATTCTTAAATGCTCTACAGTCTTCCATGATCCGTGACAAAATGCTTCAAAAGCTGTAAGATCATACTATTTCAGCAATGACATTGATATATAATAATCCTGAACTAAAAATGATACTGATATACAACTTTTTCATGAACTGGATGTGTAGATAGGGTTTGGGGGAACTAAATCTTGGAAAGAGTAGAAGTTATTACTAAGAATCAAGGATTTTAAAACTGGACCGGACAGGGAACTGTTCTGGGGACCAGTTTCCAGATCGAATGGTCCGACCGTCTGGTCTGAACAGATGGCCCATTCTGATAAAAAAGAAAACAAAAAACAGCTAAAAACCATTGTCCGGGTCGACGGCGCCCAGGTCAGCAGTTCACTGACCAAATCAATGGTTTTTTGGCCAAAAAGCAGTTTTGGGGTGAAATGGAGGTGACCAATTCCTGGTTTTTTCGGTCTGACCATCTGGTCCGGTCCGGTTTTGAAAACACTGCTAAGAATTTACATTTGAAATTTGAAAACAAAAATAGATTTGAAAAAAGACATATTAAAATTGAGAATCGTCCCAGATTCAAACTGGTCTTCGACCATGTCAACTAATTGAGACCCTCAAGGTTTTCCTTGCAAATACCTTAATATATTAATCAAATGGTAAAATCCTGGGCTGACAAGCATCAGAACGCAAGTTTGAGTCAGAGAGCAGCCACTTTGTGCAATAAAATGCCAAAGATTTGGACCATATCTGGTCTACCCCTCCCAAGACCCCAGATAGCTGAAACCAATATTTGGTAATAGCCTTTTTAAGTCCAAGCAGTGAGTTCTTACTAGGTTATATCAAGCAGGGCACAGTCAGTGATTTAGGTTATGTTTGGCATGCTTTCAGAGAATTAATTTTGATAAATTTTGTGACTCTAATTATCATATTTAACGTTTTCTTATCAGTAAAATCACTTTTTAAGTTTGGATTAATAAAACTTGTTGGAGTCAATTCTTTTCTGGGCTCAAAAACTCACTCTAAGGTCCTATTTGCTTTTCGGTAAGTTACTTACCCGGGTAAATGCAGTTATCTGGGTAAGTTTTTCTTGGGAAACACTTACTAGTGCATTTATCCATGTTCTTTAATTTCTCATGTAAATAAGATAATGACCATTTTAGCCATAAAAATCCATTATTAAAAGGGGCATTTTTGTCCCATTCAAGTGTTGGCAACTTCTCCCTAGGTGAGAAAGTTATTTACCTGGCAAGTGATACCCAGGAAACTAAACTTTCCATGATCCTCACATAAATCTGAAAAAATAACATGGGATTCTTGGTAATGGGAACCAAAATCCCATTGACCAACTTCCCCCTCTCAAAATCCAAAAAAAGTACACCCCCTACATTTGATTCTTTGAAGCTGAAAATTTTAGTTTCAAAAGAAAAAAGAATAATTTTTTACTCAGAACTCATTCTTCTGCCAGAGTCAGGAAGATCAAGGTACTATTCAAACATGTTTGAATCATAAGTCCATGATAATCAAAGAAGTTTTGTGCTTACAACATGCATGCATCTATCAATCTGGGACCTGCATGTAGATGTAACCCAGCAAATTATCATTGTCAGGCAATGAAGACAGTATTAGAACTTAAAGCTACGAAACCAGAACCAGAGCCGCACATCATATAACAAATGAACTTCGTGATAGAGCTTGAGTTAAGATGCTTACGATATTCACCGATTGGATGCCAGGATTGATACAAACGCCTCTTCACCATGGCTGTGAGCAAGCAAGTGCGAGTCCTCCTCCCACAGATTGAAGCTGGGTAAACAGTAACTCTCAATTCATTAGCACAGAGGAACATAACATATAATGAAGCAGAAGCACCATTACTGAATAATCTAAGTTCACCACCCAGATGGTTGAAGTTAAATATTTCGCTAAAATCGCCTTTTTTTTTCTTTTTGAGTAGCAAAATGGAGTGTAATTTAAATAGTATCACCATAAAGAGCGTACGTTAGCAACACATAATGGGGCATGCATTCTAACTCCTCAGTCACCAAGAAAATAAATTTTTTCCCAAAAATAAAACAAAGGAAATGAGAAATCAGAAAACACAAACCAAATGCCAGTGGAAGGTATGACGAAGTTGTAGTGCCAGAGATAAGCACAGATGTGTTGATAAACGATAGAAAGAGACGAAATTAAGGGGACAGAGAAAGAAAACTGAAAAATGTAAGCAAATGCAGATGATGAATGGTTGAAGCAGAGACGCCTGAAACTGCTCTTTCGGTTTCAGATGAACGTCAGTCAGATGCCGGCGATCTTCCAGCTGGGAAACAGTTCCCGGTGCTGTTCTGTGCTGCTGTTGCTGTCTGTGGAGGAGAAATCAATTTCCCCTGGATTCTCGGATTTCATTTGATTTTCTTGCTCTACTTTTTGTTCATGCATGAAGTAAAAGGCGGGCCCGGAAAATGCTGTAGTAATCAATGTACGGATGGAAGTTTTCTGATGAATCTGATCACTGAATCCTTCCTGACGAGGTTGAAAGTTCCCCTTGTGGCTGTCGCACAGATTCTCCGTTCTCCTCTCCTTAGAACCGCTGGATTGAGACATGATCGAGATCTAGATGGCATGAGAAATTGAACATATCAACATAAGGTTCCAATGCAATGGTGTTTACATATGACTTATGGTTATTAGTGAGCAACGAAATACAGCCTATCAAAACTCATCCGTTTGACTGTTTTATCAGTGAACTTTGAAGAACTGACCGGCCGGTGTCCACGAAAAGTGTATAAGACCAAAAATGAAGCCGCGGGTGTTAAGCCAGGTTTGATGCTTGGGAGTGGTTATGTTAAAAATAAGTGATTATTCGGATAATCATTTGACGCCCAATTTTTTTAAGTTTTTATTTTAAAAAATAAACTGATAAGGGCAAATTTTGAGTCCTAATATCAATAAAAATATAATTTTTAAAATAAGATAATTTTGTATAAAATATATGAAGAAAGAACAAAAATACTGTTCATTTTCTTCCTCCTCCAAACTACTTTTGCCTTAGGTGCTTTGTGAGTGGGAGAGAGAGAAAAAGAAGATGATGAACACCTCTAACACAATCTGCCGCCCACAAACACTACTTTCGCTTTACAAATGTTACAAACAGGGCACATCTCCTGCGAATTGCTCGGGATAATGGAAAATTAATAAACAGGGGGTGTTCTTGTCTCTTTAAAAGTCTGAAGCACCAACCACGAAAAGTGTAGTTTCTTCCAAGTTCCAGTGCTGGATCCTAATGTCTCGTGAATTCGGCAATGGAAACCTTCGAGGAACGAGCAAATCACTCACTCTATAGCATAAATCTGAAGTAGATTCATGTGGGGAAAATGAATAACTGGTCTGGAACAAAATGAACCAAGGTAACTCGATCAGAACTCTTGGAATTCACATTTATAGACCGTCTTTGTGTGTAGATGAGAGAGGATGAGGACCCACACCACCAAGGGATCTAGAAATATTGTCATTCTTGATACTTGCCTCAATATAGGCAAACTTGATTTAAAACTACCCCTTTGGGTTAAGCCTCCAAATGAGTTTGTCTTCTTGATCACTCAAAGGAATAAAAATAGCCAGATCCTAATCAGAGGCTCCTTTCAAATTTTCCTCCAATGGTCTATTGTATCACTGACTCTAAGATCTCTATTACCAATTAGACTATTCTCTATTAACTCTTGGATGGGCTCCTCAGTGGCCCATCTATCAATCCAAAATCTGGTAGAGGAGTCATTACAAATGAGTCGACCCTTTCCTCTTTTAATTAATTCTCTTGTAGAAATAATGCCTTTCCACGCCCATGAGTGGCTTTTCTTTGGATTGATATCCCAAAAATCACTATTGCTTAGATATTTTTTGGTCACAACTTGCACCCATAAATTATCTCTCATTTAGGATTTTCCAACCTAATTTTGTCAAGCATGCCTTGTTGGTCCATTCTAAATTCTTGATACCAAGCCCACCCCAGTGTTTGGGAGTGCAAACATAGTTCCAATTGATAAGGTGAAGAAGATTTTTTTCCTTATTATTTGTCCATAGAAAATTCCTTTGCATTTTATCTATTCATCAAGGACACCCTTAGGAATTTTGACAACCCTCATCAAATATTTGGGAGTTATGCTAGTAGATGCTTTGATGAGGGTGACTTTGCCCGCAAGGGAGAGGGAGTTTTTTCCATCCAGCAAGTTTGTTACTAACTTTTTCATTTAGAGAACTAAAAGTCTCCATACAATATTTATTATTAAAGATAGGGGCTCCCAAGTAAATATTGTTTTTACTCCCTAGAAGAATCTTGCCAATTTAAGACAAAATCTTTTCAATTCTAGGGTGGATGTTCTTTGAAAACAAAATACTTGATTTTGTGAAATTAGGGGTTTGTCCAAATGCTTTAGCAAAATTATTAAATATATCCCTAATTTTGATACATGCCATGATGTTGGATTTTGCAAAAATAATGCAACCACTCGCAAATTGTAAAATTGGTATGGGTGGACCATATTTAGATGTTTTACAACCAATGTTACTACTCGTAGTGGAGGCTTCTTTAAGCAATTCTTAGTAAGAACTTCAACACACAATACAAAAGAAAAAAAAAAATCAAGGAGAGAGTGGGTCCTCTTGTCTGATTCCTTGAGATGGGATTATCTCCCTCGTAGGATTATTTTCCTAAGAAGGTCACTTATTTTGTTTGGAGGAGTGGTCAGAACCAAAAAGTGGAGGTTTGTTAAGGTAAAAATAAAAGGTAAATATATAAGTTAACATTTTATAATTGAATCTAACTTTTATGATTTGCACTAAATGCAAGAGAAGTATCTCCTTTATATAGTATCAACAATAGACTACAATCATTTGAAATATTTCTTTTTCACTTTGTACTAAAAATCAGTAAAAAGCATCAAACAATCAAATACCTTTAAAAAATATGCTCAGTCTATGATCATAAAAGTTTAGTAAAAAATTACATTTTATAATATTTTAAGAAGTTGGGAAAAGGTTGGGATTGATTTGGTTAGGGTTGAATGATTTTAGGTTGGGTTAGGGTCTGGATTAACTAGGTTGGGTTAAAGTTAGGGTTGGGGTTAGGGTTAAGGCCTT